TCACCTCTAGCGGTTTGGTTTCGGATATGAATGTAAATCATTACCAATGGTAAGTTTCATCCATGTATTAAAAATGACACTTTATGTAACAATTGGCTGTAAGCACAACAATAAAAAGGATGTAAGTATTTATTTAATGTCGCACTAAATTAGTTTGATCTTTACCCCTAGTCATTTCCTTTTTGGAAATGATTGTTAAGCTCCTGCAAAATCCAACTGTTAACCACACTGGGATCTAAAATAGCGGGGAATTTAAATCACTCTGAGCTTAGAAATCAAGAGGCAGTGTCTTTTAATTCTATTTCACGGTGAATTCTAAGCTCTCAGTTCTTCCATCACTTCACTACTGTTCTTCAACCAAGTTGATACAGCCAAACCCTGAAGGAACATCCCGGAATTTTCATTATATTTACAAATGCCCCAAACTCTTTAAATGGTGTACTGTAAACTCAGTGTGTGTCAATCTTGATGCTGCGTGAGGCACAATATTACAGAGTGGCAAAGGGCCCAGACTCTGAGGAATACATAGAAGTTACTGGAATCAATGCCTGGTATAGAGTAAGCACCATCTAAGTGTCTGCTATTATTTTCTATTTTAAAGGAAATGAGTCCCTGGTGTCCCCCCCACCCCCCCGTGTCCCTCTTTCATGCTGTGCCACACGCATTTGTCCTTCTCAGGTTACCCCATCACTCTACTCCAAGAAATGTTATGACTTATCACATCTGGTCTATCGTGAGACTGAAATTGGGGGGAAAAAAAATATATCAAGGCTTTCAAGCCAACTTTCCTTCAGAAGAGCTTGTCCTGAGGAGTATTCATGGTTCCTGGAGATGGGATTTGAATTTTTCTTCTGCAAGTCAGCTAAGTGGATTACAGTGCTCGGGGGTCACAGACTGACTCCAAACGGGTGGATCTCTGCAGTCTTTGATGGCCTTTGGGACATGATGTGACAAGTATCATCCAATTGCCTGTCAATCAATATTTTGATGGAAAGCTTTTCTGGTTCCTCATTTTAAACCCAAACCTACCGGGGCACCTGGGTGGCTCAGTGGGTTAAACCTTCTGCCTTTGGCTCACCTCATGATCCCAGGGTCCTGGAATGGAGCCCTACATCAGGCTCTCTGCTCAGCAGGGAGCCTGCTTCCTCCTCTCTCTCTCTGCCTACTTGTGATCTGTCTGTCAAATAAATAAATAAAATCTTTTAAAAAAATCATTAAAAACAAAACAAACAAACAAAAAAAACCCAAACCTAACAGTCCTGATGGTACTTCAGAAAGTTAAAGTGTGTGGTGTTTTTTGTTTGTTTGTTTGTTTTTTAAGGATTTATTTATTTGACATACAGAGATCACAAGCAAGGCAGAGAGGCAGGCAGAGAGAGAGAGGAGGAAGCAGGCTCCCTGCTGAGCGGAGAGCCCAACACGGGGCTTGATCCCAGGACCCTGAGATCATGACCTGAGCTGTAGACAGAGGCTTTAACCCACTGAGCCACCCAGGTGCCCCTAAAGTGTGTTTCTAAAATACCGATGGGGGATGTCACATGATTATAAAGCTGCTAATATATACATGGTCATAGCATCTAACTTGTATAAAATCCTATTGTTATTCTAAATACAACTATCAGAGTTTCTTTCAGAACAAAAACAATGATCATCCAGATTGGGAATAAGGAAATAATGCAATTGTTTATAGTCAAACAAATTAAAGTGTTTTTAATGTTTTGTAAAATACTACTAGCAGGGAAATGTTTCAATCTGCAAACTTATTTATCCAGAGGTTACAGATAATGCCATTTGACAGGTTTTTCTCAGTAGTATTTTCAGACAATCATCATTGCCTCTCACCACTGCCTCTATTAGGCAGCCCCCAATTTACAAAATAGTTGAACTCCTAAGTGTGAAATTCATACACCAGATCCACCCCCCTTCCCCTTTTAAGGTCATCAAAGGCATTTAAAGAAATGAAGACACTTTGTATCCTATACATGTATCCACAGCTTGCTTTGTGCGACTCTAAGCCTGACCCACGTGCTGCCAGAAAGCTGCTTTCGAAACACATCACTAGAGCTGAGGACATCTAATGTCTGCGCTGCCCAGCACCCGGGTACTTTAATGGTAACACCAACCCTGGTTTTCCTCTGTGAATTCACCACTTCCCTATTCTCAAGCTATGTGAGTTTAGTTGGAAGTGACCTCACCGCCAGGTGCCAGCGTGGGTCTCCATTACCTTAAGATGATCAGTGAATTTATCCCGGAACCCCAGCTTCCAATGTCCATTCTGATTGGTTCAGGGATGGACACATTAACCAATTGGAGTCAATGGGACACAGAACGACCTTTGCTGGGCATTCTGTGAAGAAGGAAAAAATAAAGTTTTCCATCTCTCCTATGGGAGCAACCAAAAAAGAAACCTCTCTCTTTCCTTAGAATGAGTGGTAGGAGAAGGTGAAGTCTGCGGGGGGGTCGGGGGGCGGTGGTGGCAGCCATGTTGCTAAGAAAAGAGGAGAGCCTGGGGCCACTGGGGGTGGGAAGCGTCCACCCCACCGTGTGGGGCCTGAAGTAGAAGACAACACTGCAGAAGCCAGGCTGTTTCAGCTAGAGCTGGAAAGACCTGAACCATGGGGAGTACAGCGTGAGATTTTTTATCAAGCTTCACAGGAGCCAGGCACAACTCTGGAATTTCAGTTATGGATGGAGTCAGTCTATTTCCTTCAATGTTTGTCAGTCTGAGTTACATTTTCTGTGACTTGCAACATGAAGAGACCTAAGTTACGCAGGCAAAATCATCCAGAATGGAAAGGAACACTTGGGCTCCACAACTTGTATCCCCCAGACTTCCATGGTGCTACCTCAACCATGATGGGGAGTGGGAGGAAAATGAACCATGCCCAGGCTGTCCATCAGTAAAACAGGGAAGACATCCAAGGATGGCTTCCATGTTGAAGCCAGGGAGGAGAAGTAAAAGAAGAAGTGAGAGACACAGCTTAGGTCTTTGGAGTTCTGCTCAGGCATCCCAGAGAGGAGAGTCTGAGTTGGCATCACTGTCTTCTTCAGCAACAGCTCCATAGTAATTGGGTATTTGGGAATTAGCATCTGTCTGGTTCTTCCAATTGGTTGGTAAGGTAATTACGAAAAGATGTCTAGTTAATAGAAGAAATCGTTTGTTAATGGGAACTATTCTTTATCTTTAAAAAAAAGAGAGATTGCTTATTTTCAATGCAGACAAAATAGATTTGCTATGCCAAAAAAAAAAAAAAAAGACATGAGAGTAAGTGTTTCTCAGTGGACACTAGATTGGTAAACCACTCTTTTAAATAAGTACTATATTTATTCAATTATCATTTCTGAATTTCTCATTTATAAATAATTTTTTGTTAGACTTTAAGGGCCACAATTAAATGTTTTGCCTTGAATTTAATGTTAAGCATGTCTGAGATGCTTTCCATGGGTTTTCTCTTTTTCACAAATTATTGCTCTGCCTTGGTAAATAAAATGAAAGGCAAAACAATGAGACCTGTGGACAAGGAAACATTTCTTTATAAAAAGAAAAAGAATATTCTTTCTTTGTCCTTTCTGAATTTAGAAATTTTCCCCTATATAATACTGAAATGTTTAACAATTCATAAAAAACATAAGCATCTACATTTAAACACAACCTTAAATATAGCCCTGTAATTTCTACCAGGAACCTTGTAAAATATGATGAATATACATATGTGGATACTAAACTTAGACCATTCAACATTCACATGGAAATGCAGCATTACATACAATATAATAAATATCCAGGATATCAAATCCACAAATTGATCATTATTTTGGTTTAGATTCTCTTACCAGTTAACACTTTTACTGCATAATTTATTATAATAACCTTACAAGTTAAACATAACTAATTAGAAGCAGAACTTAACTAATCTGCTGAAATAACACAATTCTCAATATTTTGCAGCATATTTTAACCTATAACATCTAAAATTGTCATTTTGACAAGAAAAACACATCCATATAACTAACTACTCACTTAACTTCTTTTCAACGTTTAAAAAAGGTATGGAAAGAAACAGAAGCTAATCTTATTTCTGAGATAATTTTATTGCCCTTGCTTTTGGGCTTTGGCAATAAGTGTCTCAAGTTTCAATATATATCATATAACTTAAATACTGTATTTACAAAATATATAACTTTTTTAAGCAAAATACTATACAAAATACTGTTTTTACACATTTAAAGGGTGCTTCCCCTTACAATGTATGAGAGCCCTTTATGTTTTTACCTTTAATTTTCCCACCTGCTTTTAAGATCCCTCTCTTCCCCATTATTTCTGAGCTGGGGTTTTAATAGTAGCAACAGGTCTATTATTAAAGAACGAAACCAACAACACTATATGTTAACTAACTTGAATTTAAATTTTTTAAAAAATGAAGCCAAGGATAGAAAAAGTGCTGTATATCTGACTGAAATTTTTCTAGATAAATTCTCCTAGTTAAAAGGCACTTAAAATCCAAACCATACATTTTACTTTTTACGTTTAGATTCTTCCCTTTTGTCACTAAACATCTCTAGCAAACACTTTTTAGGCACACAGTATCACTAAGGGAAATTCGTTTTAATTGCCCTTTTTTCGAAATGCATGAAAGGGAAACTAAGCACCCAGTACTTCTGTTAACTTTCCAGCATCTGTTTCTATGGGCGAACCATATGATTTCTTCACCTAAAATGTTGAGAGAATAAACGAGATCCTGTTTACTGTTCCTTGCTGCTAGAAGAAGTGTCTTTCATAAACGCCTAATATTCACCCACTTCTGCTGAGTTCCACAGCTGAGTTCCATAATCCAGGATCTTTATCCTGAATACGGACCAGGTCTTCCCGCGTGAAGGCTCCTTTCTGTTCTTTCTTGTTCAGGAGTCAGATTATCTTCCTGGTGTGTCAATATATATTTCTAAACCAGCAAAAAATGAACCCAAACCTTGTCAACTCTGCTTCTTCCTCCTCCCAAATCCATGCACTCTGTGTATGATCGGCTATCCGTTGGGTAACGGGAGCTCAGCGCCAAGCGCCAGGGTCTGGGACTTAGAGGAGGCAGGGGTCAGCTCACCAGGCCTGCACGGTGAGAGGCTGGCCGGAGGGGCTACTTGCAAGTGTGGACGTCAGTCATGCTTTCACACCTCCTGCAGCGGACGTAGCAGCACCAAATAAACTTGCACTCGCACCTCTCCACGTGCCTGACCACGTGGGTGTTGTAGCCTCGGCCACAGCAAAGGAGGTTGCAGCCGTCTGCGCCCTCCGACGTGCGGTTGCATTCTCTGCCTTGGGTCCCAGGGATCCCTAGTTTCTTATCCTCGACACAGTAATTGGGAGACTTATTAACGTAGAGGAGATCATCCTTGCGAATGGGTATTTTCTTCTGATCTTTGTCTCTTCTGCGCATTTTCCTCTTTATTTTGTCCGAGATTTGGACACTGTTTTCGTATTTATCCTTCAACAAGTGGCCAATCTTTTCGAAAGAAGACATAGTTTTCCAGCACGTTTTCACAGCGCAGGAGCCGGAAACTCCGTGACATCGGCAATCCACGGACATCAACTTGGCGACAGCCTGAAACCAACCGTAATGGTATTAAATAGCATTCGTGAAGGGTTTTCCCTCCGCACCCCAAGCCTGACTTGACCTCATCCCTTCCCTTTCTGGGTCTGCTTAGTCCTGCCTAAAGGTGATCGCTTTGAAGGCGAAGGCTCTTTACAGTTGCTTCAGGGTTCAAGTGTTCTGTCCTTCTCTTGACCCTGCCGAGCAAACACTCCCAAGTCTTGAAGTGGTGGACCGGGCTGCTACTGTTATCGGGGGCGATCTGAGACAATAGGGCGATCTATTTCTATTTCTTTGTAGAATTCTGGGTGTGAGAGGATGCCCACGCGTACTTCCCTGTTCCTGACACCAATCACCTTACAACTCAGAGTGCGCGGTTCGTGGACCGGCAGCACCGACAGCCCTCGTGGGAAATGCAGACTCCCAGGCCCCACTGCAGACCCACAGCACCAGAATCTGCATTTTAATAAGATTCTCCGGTGACTCCTACGTGCATTAAGGTTGGAGAAGCACTGGGAGGGCAGGTGTCCTGGGCGCTCACGTGCACAGAAGCATCAGGGGAATTTAACGAGTAACCGGGGCTCTAATCCCTGAGATTCTGACTTAACCCGCAGAGGTGCGGTCCGGGCAGCGGCGCTTCCATAAAACTGCTCAGATGATCCTAGTGGGCATCCAAGCATGAGATCTACCCAACTGAGAGCTCCGGCGTTTGATCACTGTAAAAGTCCCTTACGTTCACGTGGGCGTGGGGGGTGGGAACCGCGTTATCCTCTGGTCACAGACCACATGAGAAACCCTGACTAATCAACTTAAGTCGGTCAGAAGGAGAAGGGGCTGGAGAATGTGGTTGCTCCCAGCACATTCTTCCCCTCTTCTGGAAAATTAACTCAAAACATATGTCCTATTCCTGATGGATCGGTAGCACCATCCCCTTCTAGCAGAGGGGTAATATATGTATGTAACTTTTCAATTCAAAGTGCAGAGTTTGGTGTATTCAGACTGAGGAATTCAATGAAATTACATATATCCATAAGAGCCCAATGCCTGGCCCACATTAGAATCTAAATAAATATCCCCTCTCCCGAAGAAGAAGAAGAAGGTACAGGGAGAGTTGAGAGAAAAATTTGAAAAGAGGCTAACAGTGCAAAGGCAAGGTAGAGATTTCAAGAACTTTAGGGTTCTGCTGTTTTACACACCGGGCTAGTCAACACAGCTTCCTTCAGTCCCCAGAGGATGGCAGAGCAGATTAATAAATCGCCAGGGCAGCTCTCGTGTTGACGGTCTGTCAACATGCTGGGTAAAATGAAAAAGTGATCTGTCCGTTCAGTAACATGGAAATTATGTGTGTAATCACACCAAAGAAAGGAAAAACTTCACCACTTAAATTCCACTTACACTTCTTATCAAAACTATAAAATGACAAGGGTTTATGCTTGGCTATTTTATGCTAAACCCGACACCGACATGTTTGTGGAATGTTAGGTTTCCTAACAAATTAGAGTTTCTGAACTATCTAATGAGACAGAATATTTCGGACAATTTATCATAGTTGCAAACTTGAGTGAGAGCATATGGTATTGATTTGTGTAATATTTGATACTTATTAGTGTTTAAAATAATAAACAGAATAATATTTAAACCCTGTCCTTTATAGAAGAGAGCACATATGCTTTTTGTGAATTCACAAAACGGAGAAGCAAGTAGCTATGTCTATTTCTTATTAATGCCAGGCAAAAGATAACTCTCAATGATAATGAGAGCAATTCATCAAGTATGGCACACAAAAAAATAAAGTATGGCGCAAACGCTTATTTGCTTAAATTTATGGCACTCGATAGTCACAAAGACTTCAATTCTTTCAAATGGTTCCAGGCAAATAAATGTTCAAATGAATGCAATCTGCGTATTTTTGTTCAGATTTTAAAGGCTTGAAGGATATGAGAATAAGAGAGCTCAGTTAATGCTAGGTAATAACAAAACAAATTGTCCAAAGAAAGCCAAAAATCGAAGAATGTCTGTTTATGTATTTAAACCTGATCAGCATTCCTTCCAGTCATCACTTGGTGATTTAAAGCCGGCTCTTGCTCAGGATCTTACTGAAAGGCGGACTTTTTCTTTCATTAACCAGTTCAGACATCACGTATGGTGTTGCCAAATTGCAAAGCATGGAAGACAGAGTAAATGCTCACCAAATACTTATGGAATGGTTAGTCCAGCTCACTGGAACAAGTTTTAACTCATTCTCTGTTGGTCATATGAATTGGAAGGAAGAGTTGAAAACCACCTTTAGCAAAAGAGTCCCTGCCAGGAGAGTCAATGGTATGGGGAGACCTTGATCCTGCTGGGTTCTCCTCCCATTCCTCAGTCCACAACTGTGTCAGTCCCCAGAGTGACATATTACTTGGTTTGAAAGATACAAAGAGACTGATTTTCAAATCTAATGGTACCACCTGCTGAATGTGTATCAGAATTTTGGGAAGATTTTCCTGCCAGAGGAAAACTAGGGTCTTTTAAATACCTGGAGTTGATTGTAACTTTTCAGGGATGATATTTTGAAGTTTTATTCTAATACCTTTCAATTTCTTTATCTTTTTGTCCTTAATAGTAAGTATAAAAATGGCATTTTTATCATCTACATATCTTACATTTTATCATATATATTTTATATTATATATAGTTTACCATATATATTATATATAGTTTACCATATATTATATATAGTTTACCATTATATATAGTTTATATATATATATATATATATATATAGTTTAGGACAGAAAGCCAAATAAACTTCAAGGAGAGGAATTCCAATAACTTGACATGCAATTTAAATGACTATAGACCCAAAACACTCTAAGGAAGAAACTTGGACAAATAGGGATTAAAATAAAGCAACGTAATTACCACCAGGAGAATTGGATGAAATGCAGAGTTCTAGGGCAGATCTCTCTCTCTCTCTCTCTCTCTCTCTCTCTCTCACACACACACACACACACACACATGCTGTAGAACTTGGCTGTTTCTTAGAGCACCTCTTCATAAATTGTTTTACTTGATTTAGTTTTGTGGGAAGAAATGCCTTGCACACAGTAGGTCATTAATGAACATGTACTTACATATTATTCCAGTTTTACCAACAATCAACAGCATGGTTAAGACACTTGCCTTTTACATTAAAATGTACAGCTGGCGATATATGATCTAAAGTCTTTGTATCCAACAGGAGAATTTTAGTAGAACAGAGAAAAATGAAAGTGGAAAATGGAGTATGTTTAAGGAACTTGCACGAACACTCCACAAAAAGGTATATATTCTGAGCTTTTCAGCTAGGATTCTTAATTAATGTCAAATAGCCATTCTGGGCTGTAGTGATAGCAGTCCTTTCCTGCTAACAAGAAAAGTAAAAGGATAGCAACCGTCTGAGTAGCATGTGGTTATGAGAAAATTCTTTTCTCTACTCTAGTTGAGTTGTTAGGGTTTATAACGATATTAACAGAGGAATGTTTTGTGAACTATTGCAAACAGATGTGCACATTTTGGTGGAATATTTTTAAACTATGGAAGAGCAATTAGGAGGGTAGCATTTAATTTACTGGGCTCTTTGCGTTAAGTTTTGGTTTGATAAACTTCTAATGAACTGAAATAGGAAAGATGTATCATTGATACTTAATGTAAAAATAGAAACTGCTTGAAAAATGGGCTGCGGAATTGCTGGCCCCACCATTTTGACTCCGAGGTAACCCAGCAGGCAATGATGGTTTTATCCAAACTTTACATAAATGACCCAAAAAACTGCTGCAGAACATTTTGTTATGAGCAGTTCATTTTGTCAACTATCAGATGATCTGGTTAAGTTTTTAGGAAAACGGTGACATAAGGTTGGATGGTTATATGTAGAATTCCTATTCCTCTGACCCATTTTGTCTCTTTCAGTCCAAAAATATATTTGAACCTGCAGAAAGGCAAAACACTTATGTGTTGTTCAAGTACTTATAAATATTCTTGAAACAGGTCAATGAACATTTGGGGTTGGGCCCCTCCCACTTTTTTGAGTTACTCATCATAAAGCAAATTATGGGGTAGGGAAACTTAAAAGTTTATGAGGTGGACAGGGGAAGAATGGAAATATTTTAAGCACACCAAAAGAAATACCCATAAATATTCCAAGTCACATTATTCCCAGAAGTTCTGCCCCTGGAAGACATCACATCATTCTGTTAGCCAATCACCATTCAGCAACATTATTCTTGGAGTCATAACTTTAGGAATGGTGTCAGAAACCAAGTGGGAATCAGAGTACTTAAGGTCAGCGGTTAGAAAATCATCTATCCTGCTCACAGCACTACTAAGCGCCAGTACCCACATTTCTCTGAACGCTTTCCTACATTTTGAATTTGGGATTTTGAGACCAAGAAAATCAACTCAATTGAATGCAGACCTTGAACTTTACCCAGAAGAATATGCCTATTAGATTAAAATCTTAATTGCCAATCTTAAAAATGGAGTTGGTTGTTCTTCCTTGTTAGATAATAGCCTGCAAACTTGGTTGTTTTTTGTTGTTGCTGTGGTGCTGGTGCTGGTGGTGGCGGCGGGGTTTTTTTTTGGGGGGGCGGGGGGCCACCAGTGGAAAGAAAAATACAAAAATGTTTGAGTTGTAATACTTCCTAAAAAAAGACCAACAAAAACAGCAGTCCAGGTAATATTTTGTAATATTTTAAGATTCCATCTAGACCAATGGGGAACAAAAAGATTCAGTAGAGAGAACCCTGAAATTGACACAAACGGAATGTATATGTTTAGGCTGAATTTTTTTCTGCGTAATTAAAATGGCAGAAACCCCAGTAATGTGAGGAGATTGTTTTTTTTTTGCCAACAAACACAGTGGATTAAAATGGATGCTAAATGGTTGTATGTTTTTAATAAACTCAGAATATAAATAATAGTTTAAGATCAAATAGTTACAGAGGCAAATACTGTTACCTAATTTGAAACAACACACGAGACAGAATAAAACTAAGTAGCTGCTTCATGATACTAATTAAAATACAGTTAGAATATTTCTGACCTTCTCACAAGTTTGGGGATAATCTTTATTCAAGGGAATTAATTATGACATGAATTTCTAAGTTTTGTTTTCTAGTTAAATTTTTAAAAAGCTCTACCAAATTATTTCAAGAACGGCTAAAGAAGATTTAAGATCTAAATCGATAATCAATATTCATTTTTTGTTTTTAAAATATATTAATTTGACTTATTTTAGTATTTTTCTCATTTGAATTCTAAAGTTTTAAAGAACATACATTTAAAAATGTAAACTTATATTTAACCCTCTTTTATAGTCCTATGTTGGAAATAATTTTAAAAATCCTTTATTGGAGAATATTTACATGGAAGCAGAACCCCATTCATTGAATTTTTTTTCATGCAAAACTTTAAGGAGAAGAGATATGTGCATAACTACAGTATTAAACAAGAGTTACTTTAGTGTGATCAGCTAACTTTCAAAGCTTCTCAACAAAAATATGAAAAGCCTACCTAGCTATTTACTGACTTTCCTACTTTCTATTTTGCTATTTTATATCAATATTCAAATCGAATTGAAAATTCAGATTTGAATTTGAAGTGTTATGGTGATAATAACATTTATGGAGTTTTCTGTTTTTGTATTATAAACCAGAGTGGTTAAGCAAAGAAAGCTGGTTGAAACTTGCACCTATTCTACATGAGTTCCATTTATTCCAAAAATGTAAAACAAATGCAACACGTATTTTAAATATTCCTGACAGACACGGCAACTTGTTTTAATTTATTTCAGGAGATTGTGGAGGATTGCAATGACTACTTTGGGACTTTTACAGGTTATTGTTGGATATTACAATAATATAGGACATGTGCTGATATTCCCCGTCCTGAAAAGATTATTACAACATAGAAAATGTATATTCATAAGAAAGTTTGGACTGTTTTAGGAAAATCGCTATGAATTGCCAAGTAATTCAGCTATGTTGTAGAACTCAAACTTTATGGTGTCAATAGTCATTTAAATAAATATGTAAAAGGTAAATTAAGTTACAAATTGATTCCATTTTGAGAAAACTTAATATGAAAAACCAAAATTCATAAAAAAGGTTAATTAGATGGTGGTTCTTCAAATTTGCCTACCCTTCAGTCTTATATATATTTAAGCATTCATACATATAATATATCTTAGATTCTTATCTGCACTTATTATTTTTACAATGGATCTATATCACTTTATAATAAAATAACTAATTATCTTTTTAAAAACTTTGTTTTACCAAAATGTTAGTTAAGAGTTATATATTCCCGGATGTATTCAAGAATGCCTGCTAGAGAATGTAAGGACATAATGATAACATGTTTGGGAGTCATTTCTCACTAAAAATAGATTTTAAAAAATCAAAATGTAAATTTGAGATGGAATTTGATTCAGTCCTATTAGAAAGGCAGATTCTATAGACGTTAGTCTGGCTCTCTCACAAATGGAACAAAATGACCCCAAAGGCACGTCTACGCCTATTATTTTATAATTAGTGTTCTGGGTGTACAAAGTACAAAATCACCAATACATTCTATAATCAGATTCAACTCCTATCAGACGGAGAACTGAAACTAGATCAATGTAGAAGTTATCCATATATAATAAACACACATACATATTATACATATGTATGACATATATATTTCTCAGACTACAAGTGTATGTTTTTCAAGTCATTTGGACAGATGCATTCAGAAGTGTAATCCTAGTGTTATTTACTTAAAGGCACTAGATTTCATTCCATTTTCTGATACGTACCTGCCTTCCAGCTTCGTTGTTGTGCAGGTTCATTGCTAAAAGTACTTTGCTTTCTTTTCCTGTAGTGTTTCTGATGGGGAAATCTAGGAACTTTCTGCTGAACCACATGCCATACTGGACATCGTCGGAGCAGCCCCCCCAGTGCCAGCCTTCGCTTGCTGAACCGCCATTCTGTAAGGTGGTGTCACAGGAGCACTCGGTCATGTTGCCTGCACTGCAAGACCTGGTCACAGAATGCACCAGGCCTGCTGCCATCACAGCATAAATAAATGCTGTTTCCTTGGTGCCTAGAACAAAACATAAATTGCTGAATGAAAGAGCCAAACCTCTGTCTGTTTATGTTCACAACAAAGCTTCCTGCTCATCCTCTTAGCAGGGAAGCTGTTTTTCAATTGCCTTCAATGGATGCTTTTAATGAGGACATATTTAGGAAGGACGATTTCATAGTGTTTCAGTCTTTCAAAAAAGCAACATTAATTTTCAGTATTTCACTTGGGGGGGGTTTATATATTGTGTATCGTAAATTGTCCTCACACCTTAGAATCATCTGTTTATTTTTAAAATTAAAAAATATGCCAACACCTAGCTCAGTGCTTAATAGACAATAAAAGTTCAATAACTATGTGTTGAATTTAAAATTCTCTGCATGGATACCACAAATGGCAATACAATGCCCCAAAGAGTCCAGATTATTTTTTAAAAAATTTATCATTTTGAATGTGTTCTCATGAAACACACGCTGAAAAATTTGGTGTGATTTTTGTTTGTATGTTGTATGCTGGTATGCAAATTAGGATTAAGCAAAGTCCAAAGCAATCAGTAGATGTTACAGTTAACTTTCATATCAAAAAGCGGGTTTTTTTTTAAGGAAGATATTATAAATAACAATCACAAATATTAATATTAAACAGTTAAATATCTTACATATTACTAGCACATCCTTTTACAGGCTGAAAGGCAATGAAAGGATTGAAATGTCACCAGAAAAATTAAAAAAATATATTATAGAAAATCATTGAATACATATTTAGCACACCTACAATGACGATTGAGCTAAACTCTTTGCAAATTAAAGTCCTATCAAAACATTAGCAAAATGGACTAGAAGAGACTCAGCAGGTGACCTTTTTTCTTTTGAGATGTTAAGATTAGAGTTGCATGCCCCTTGTCCAATATACCTTTTCAACAGCTGATGTCTCTGCATTTCATCAACTGAAACTTTTTTCTTCTTTTTCTCCTCCTCCTCCCCCTCCTGTTCTCCCTCCTTTTCCTTCTCCTTTTCCTCCTCCTCCTCTCTCTTCCTTCTTCCTCCCCCTTTTTTCCCCCCTTCTTCCTTCTTCACTTCTTTTTTCTTCCTCGGGGGCCAGGGCTCCTTCGGAAGGGCGTGCCGCCCAAAACGCAGCGGGGCAAGCGCAAGGCTTTGGCGGCGATGTGTGCAGGGAACGTGTGGGGAAGGGTCCAAGGAGGAGGGAGAACGGAAACGAATGTGAAAAACAACAACGAACCTTTCGGCTCCCAGGTTCTAAAACTCTCTGAATCTGCTGAGATTCCTAGAACAATCCTGGTTCCCTGTGCCTTTATCCCTACCGAGTAACCAGGCACGTGGAAGTGGAACTTTTACTGCAGCTTCCCGCGCCGCGGTGGTGCTCCGAGGAGGGAAGATAGAGAAGGAAAAGAGAACAGAGGGGAGAGCCAAAGTAGTCGTGCTCGGGTGAGCCGCACGTTGAGTTGCCCAGGACACTCCCTTTAGAAACCAGCATTATTCTGTCTACCCCGCGCTCCGAGGTGCCAACAAACGCGAGGCTGCGCTGCAATTAGCCCCTTGTCCAGGGCTCGGTGCGCAGCGGAGCTGGTTAAATCAAAGCAGATGCGGCGGCAGCATTCCCTGCTGCCGACATCATGTTTCTCCAGCTGGTCACCCACGTAGGGGGGCGCTACGGGGTCCGAGGGGTCGGCCGGGTGGAGTGTCAGTTTTTCTGTAACTCCTGCCCGGCGCCGCGGGAAGGAGGAAGAGCTACAGCTCCTAGAGCCCGGCTCCGGACCCGGGGGGTCACCCCCCTCCAGGACCGCACCTGCACCCGGGCCTGGCTTCCGTCACCCCCAGTTCTCGTCCACTAAAGGACCTCTTTTGGGATTTAGAGAGCGACGGACCACTCAAGCGCTACTCTGTTTACTGTACTCGGAGGAGTTGTCGCCCTCCATCCCGCGCCATCCCGGAGGGTCCCGGGACTTACCGCTGCTCAGCTCGTAGCCAAAAAGGGGGCTGGTGCCCGGCGGGGCGGCGGCGGTGACCAGGCAGTTCCACCTCTCGTGTCTGAACTGGCTCCTGCACTCCTGAATGCCCAGCCGCGCGCCCTCTCCGATGCTAGGCAGCAGGTACGGTTTCTTCTTGCACAGCTCCTTCTGGCGGCTGTTCAGCGGCAAGTTGGCGCAGCCCAGCTTCTCCGGAACCCCGAAGGAGGCGATGCCCAACCACCTGTAAGACACCGCCGTCCCTAGCGTGAGCCGCTCCCCAGCTCTCCTTTCCAATCCCAGATTTTTTCCGAAAACTGGGTCATCCGCCCTAGGAACCCCCCGTCTTGCTCCCCCTCTTCAACTGAAAGTTCCCTGAAGCTGGGCACCCCTTTTGCCACAACCCGCGTGCGCCTCTACTGCCCCCATACTCACATCCAATTTCCTTGGGCTCCGCAGGGGAACAGCGCGAGCACGGCTGCCCACAGCGCGCACAGGCGCGACAGTCCCAGGAGCGCCGCTCTGTCCATGGCCCCCGCATGGAGTCCCCCAGCCCCAGCCACTCCTCTGCTCTCGCTCCCCAGGGACCCGCCGAGCCAGAGGTCAGTTCCCCAGCACCGAGTTGTCCCTCGCCCTCTTTCGCCCTGCAGACAACATAAAAAGAAGGCCAGCGGTGATAGGGGCTCTCCGCAGCCTTCCCCTGGCTTGCAGGAAGCAGTGAGAGGAGGTGGAGAAAGGAGCCTGGGGCCCTCCTCCTGCGACGAGCTGGAGGTGTGCAGGAGGTGCGGGAGCGTCCCTCGCGGGAATAGGTGAGAAACTTCTGTTGATGTAGCTCTGTCTCCATCGCCCCCGGCCTCTCCTCCCATCTCCTCCCCCTGGCCGCGCCTGGAGCCTGATTGGCCCAGCCTCGGCCCCGCATCTCATCATCCCCGGACCTCAGGCTCCCATTGGCTGCGAGCGGGCTCCGCGGGGGGCGCTCGGGCCCGCTGCTCCCGGACTGCGAGTCCAGACCCGGGTGTGTTCTCGACCTTTCCTCCTGTCACGGTCTTCCGCGAGCCGGGCCCTGCGGGAGGGGTATGGATTCAACCAGAAGACGGCTAGGGCCGCTTCTGTCTTAGCAACCCTGGGGGAAGGCGTGGGTCGAATGGGAGATGTTTGAGTTCCACCCACCCTGCTCGAATTTGGATTAATTCCCCTCTGGGTGGGGTGGCTGGAAAATCTCACTGCCCCCGTTTCTTTCCTCTCCTTCACCTCGCCGGAGAGGAATCGTTTTGAGTCAGATACCAAACAAGTTGACCTTTCCACACTCTGCTTGAGGTCTCTCAATGTGTCAGGAGACTTTAGACGGGGGAAATGCTGTCGAGTTTGAGGTTGTCGTCGTTTAAATAGTTATTTTTAGCGAAAGAGAAGGTTCTGGCCTAGTGTCTAATCTACCATATTTAAATTGTGTTATGGGGTTTCGTTTTCCCGGTTTGTCTTATTTTCGGCAGTCTTCTTTGAGAGCACTGTCAGAAGATGGAGGGCAGAGAAGGAATGCGTGAGAGAGCTTCTCGGAGAGCTTTCGAAGAGATGAGGCTTGTGTCCTTACCCTTATCTCGAGTCCATATTATGGCTCACATGGAGACTTTGGACAGGGCTACACACTGAAGGCACGTTTTAGAAACTTACTTATTAAATGCCTACGTGTGCCCCGTGCTGGGGGGAATTTATAAAGACCATATCCCTTCCCTTAAGTTCACAAGCCAGCCACAGAGACAAGTCTAAAACAAAAGAATTTGAGATTTCAGTGAAGGAGAGGATAGAATCCAGTGAGGTACTCTTTGGAGCCAAAGAGAGTTCAGAAGCCAGAGAATGTCTGGTGGCTGGCGGTTTAGGAAGGTTAGCTAACCAGTGTTTTTCAGGATAGAAGATCTCTGCAAGAACTGTGAAGGCAAGTCCGGTATGCTTAGCTGTGGTATCCAGAAGCCTTGCTCTCCTTGACACAAAACTTTTCTGAGAGTGGTCACTTGCTCCCTAGAGGACTTCTGAAATGGCAGTAAATTCTCAGTTTAGACATGCTTAGTGGGTGCCATAATCCAAACTTATTCAAATAAAAGATTGGCTTTGCTTGCATTATCCTCAAATAAAGAATTTTATTTGCTGCATATCTTCTATATAAGCCCAGAGCAGTAAAAGCTCACTGAAATTCTTATCCCATCCCATTCATTCCTTTATCCAACAAACATTTGTTGAGTGAACACCATGTACCAGGTCCTAAAGCCACATTGTAATTTTTAGAGAGTCAAGTTGATGATAGGGTGTAGTTACTGATCCAGAAATATTTTGGCTAATGGCTAGTGGCCTCGCTCAAAATCAGAACTTTCATCCAAGCTCACTTTATGCTGTGAGCCTCTCCAGGGGGGGATCATGGAGCACTCTGTGCTGTATCCCCGCCATTGGGCCCAGCGTATGAAATCTTGGTTTTGAACACAATTTATTGAGTGGATTAATGTGACGAGGAACGCCCTGGGCACATAGCTAAGTGGGCTAAACAATGAAACAAGAGAAGTGACTTCCTCTTTGGGGAGACGGGGGAGGGGAGACCATTAATACTTAGTGATTATTCTGTCCATACTTCTAAAGCAAAGGATACTTATTTCCAGGCGTGGGTAGAGTTGAAGAAATACCCTTTTCATTCAATGAACAGACATTTGGGGGCTTTTTTTTTTTTTTTTTTTTCCTGCCAGGCATTGTGAACTCATGCACTGAAACCCTCACAAGTGCCTCCAGCATTCAATCTCCTTCTTTCTCTCTCCACATAAAATTTCAACCCTACCCCACCCCACTGGTACTCATTTTATAGATTAAAAAAATGAATTTGGAAAGGTTAAATACTTTCTCAAGGTCACTCAGCTAAGAAGTAGTAGAATAAAAATTCACTCTTATTTTAGAGGCCTTGTTCTTTCCACCGCCATAGACTGCGGCCTCATCTGATTCATAACTTTTTTTTTTTTTTCCTGATTAAATCCCACATCACTAGGCATCCGGATCTAAATTTCTCTTTTGTGCCCCATGGTTCTTTATATCACAGTTCACAGTATCTCCATCAAAAGAGAGGTTCTGGGGGCGCCGGGTGGCTCAGTGGGTTAAAGCCTCTGCCTTCCACTGCTGGGGTCATGATCCCAGGGTCCTGGCATCGAGCCCTGCTTAGGGAATCTCTGCTCGGCAGGGAGCCTGCTTCCTTGTCTCTGTCTGCCACTCTACTTGTGATCTCTCTCTGTCAAATGAATAAATAAAATCTTAAAAAGAGAGAGAGAGAGAGATTCTGTTCTCTGAAGATAAACCCCACAGTGGGTCTCCATTACTTGGGTCTCACTGAGACAGATGTCAGTCCATACAGACTTCTGCCCTTTGCCCTCTCTTTGCTCTCTGGTTTCTGTGGGGCCAGTAGGAGCCGTGCAGACAGCAATGGGTGAATTGGGTGGTTGAGGTGCCCACCTGTCAGCCAGTTACAATCTTAGGCTATTAATGTCATCACTGAGCCTCAGTTTTCTCACCTTTAAGAGGACAACAAACTCTCTTTCATATCTCAATCTCCTACTAGGTTCCAGTAGGGCTGGAGGGCGGGAGGTGGTGTTTGTGTGGTTCAATGTGTGTGTGTTTGTGTTGTGTGGGTATGTGCTAATGGGGGGAGGTGACTGCATTTGCTGGTGGATTTGCACTCCCAGAAGGAAGAAACCTTAGTCATTGACAAGGCATGTCCACCTGAGTGATGGCCCAGTTTCCAGGATGGCACAAGCTAGAGTTTTTTAGCCCCCAGTTTTTGGCTTCAGTTCAAATTTTGTTTCTGAATTTCAGTGAAAATGAATTCTTTTAATTGCAGAAATCTTTTTAAACAGTTGAACTTTACGTTATAATCTTGTCAGGTCATATGAAATTTTATTTTAAGGATAAAGGAAGTTACAGATATTTTATTTATTCTGGAACAAGAAAGTGAGGGGTCTTTCATAATCTAATTTATATCTCTAATATAAAGTGTTTCATTTCCACTATCATGAGTGAGGTTTATACTATTCAGAGAGAAATATGAGAAACATATGCATAACTGCACATTTCAAATTTTTAATTTTTTAAGTAGCAGGCAGGAGCCTTCTTTCCTATTTATTATTTTCAGTTTCATAATTTGGAGGGAGGACAACATATTAACCAGCCAATAGAATATGACCTGATGGTTTACTGTGCTCTACACCTTTCCAAGCTTCAGGTACCCATATCTATAAAACATTGCAAAGATCATACCATTTATCCTTCTAAATACCAAGTGATACTATGTCATCTCATGATCTGATCCCAGCTACCTAAAATTTGATCAATGCTAAGAAAAGCACCATGGGACTCCAAGTTTGCACAGGTCACCGGAGCATCTACAGCTTCTTGATTCCACAAGGAGATTGTGTATTTGAACCTGTTTTCCTAGCAAGGTAAGGAGTTTTGAGCTGTATTCCGGAAAAGGATATTTAGGAGGAGAAAGCCAGATCTCAAGCACATTCATTCATCCCAAAGAACTCTCTTAAGGGACTGAATCTGTCGTGACAGGAGTCATCTTTGACGAGCTGGGCCCACTGATAAGTCGTTGGCTGGTAATAAATCCTACTGCCCACTCATTGCAGTCGTAGATTATTAGTTGTAGAACCCAGAGGAGCCTGTTCCTTCTGGTAGTTTTCTCTCTGTCCCTGGGAAACTCAGCAAAAAGTCTGCCTGCACAGATATGCCTTGGACTCTGCCTCTGGCAATCCATCAGAGAACGAGACTTCTAAGGGCCCCGTTGTAAGAATTTCTGCTGCAGATCACAGAGACTTATGTACTGGAAACTGATACCAGAAGCACCCCAGCTGGTCTTAACTCCCACGATAGAACAGAAGACCAGAGGTGACTTTTTACATAACTGGGTCCCCCATCCATTCTATTTTAAATTTCACCTGGAGGCTATCAGTGTGTGGAACAGAGCACAGGCTTGTGACTGTGGCTGTCAGGCGGAGGCGGAGAATGGCATTCTGGATGTCCTGTTGTCCTTTGGTGGCCTGAAAAGCCAATAACAGTGACGGACTTGGAGCCGCAGAAGTGACTCCAGGGGCAGAATCAGTAGGAAGAGCAGGAGTTGAAAAAGGATGTTGTCTTCTGTTTAAATCTCCGCAAGAATGAAAGCCAACATTTTTTGTCTACTTGTCCTAAGAATTGAGGCTGAAGAAGAGAAGTGGGCTACCTCTAGTGATATTTGTGTGATTTACGCTGTCTCATTGGAATGAGGGAATAAAACACCATCCCCGATGAATGAGAGAGCGGTCACTATTGCCCGAGGGCACAGGGAAGCAAAACACACAAAACTGAAAGACCTGGAGTATATCGATTCTCTCAACCTCTCTTTTCAAAAAAAATTTTTTTTTTGTATTTTGTAAAACAAAGCAACTCGAGTGAGTTATTATTGATTTTAATAAGGTGTCAGGAAAACTACTTCAAAAATCCGGAATTTATGTTTTTTAGATTACTATTGATAGAGCGATCCCTGGCCTGTCTAGAATGGAAAAAACAAATTGTCTCTTCTTTTCCTTTTTAGTAAAATTGAGCAACCTTGACTTTTAAGGGAGAAAACTTTGGAGGGAAGAGTCTTTTGGAAAGATTTGCCTGTGTCTATCTTATTCTTACTGCTGGGTCAAATGATTAAACTTGATCTGATGTAATAAATATTCCGGCCGGTAAAAGACCAGTTAAAAATCAGCCCGCGCCAAAGTTGCTTTTGCATTCAAGGTTGCTGCTCACGTTCCACCACTGGCTACCGGCCTCCTTGTGGGTGGGTCACGTGTTCG